GGGCCGCCCCCTCATCTGCCCCAGGGGCGCGATCGACGACGTGCCCCATCCAGGCCATCCTGGTTGGCGCCTCCGCGGTGGCGCGAGGACTGAAGGGATGGCGGCAGCTCCACGGGTGGTCCTTCAGCCAGGAGTTGCAGGCCAGGGACCTCGGCGCCGACGCTTGTATGGCGCGCAGAGAAGTGGCGGAGAGCTCAGCCAGAGCTCGGCAAGTGTCCGACGCCGTCTTCATGGCTGGGCCGTCCTCCATCTTCCTCTGGGGAAAGACCTTCGTCGACATCCCAGACGGCGACCTGCGCTGCGTGCGCGTTGCTGCGCGCAGGAGCGCGGGGCGCCTGCCCAACGGGGCACGCTTGCGGCCGCGGCCGCGCGCGGCCGAGGCGCTGCGCGGCGGGGGCCTTGACCCCGATGCGCTGGCGGTGGGCAAGGCTGCGTCGACGGCGGCGGCAGTCGGCGCAACCTCGCAGCCCGCGTTCGTGGCGGAAGCGAACCGCGCTGCCATCCGCCAGCGCGTGGCGACGGCCCCCTGGGCGCACGGCCGATTGCCCATCGACGCCCTCGCCCTCGCGCTTGGTCGCGTCGGCTGGGGAGTGCGCGGGACTGGGCCGCGTCTCGGAGCCGGGGCGGCGCGGCGACAGGTCTGCGGATATATGAGCCGAGAACGGTGCTTCGCTCCGCGCTGTCCCTCAGGAAGTGCCGGTGCACTTCAAGGCTTTCGCGCCGGTGGTGGCCGAGCTGAAACGGTGGATCGCGCGGGTGTCCATCCTGATGCAGCAGGGCGGCCTCCGCGACGCGCAGGGCCCGTCTGAGGGGCGGGAGAGGAGGCGGCCTGTCGCGACGTTCGACGACGACCCGAGCAGCCATCCCGCAGAGGTGGCGGCCACAGGGTCGGCACCCAAGCGGGGGCGTTCCACGGCATCAGCGGCGACGGCCCTCGGCCTCGGAGCGGGGCCGCTCACCGTGCTGGGCCACTGCCAGCGCTGCGCCTTTGCCGACGGCGCGGGCGAGGGCACCGCGGAGCGCCTGGTCAGCTGCAGCCGCCGCGGTGGCGTGGCTGCGCCGACATTGACGGAAGCAGAGGGCCCAAGCTGCACGCAGAATGCGCGGGGCGCCACCCCAAGGGGCCCAGGGGCGAGGGCGGCCGAGACCAGCCCAGCCTCTGGGAACACGGCGCGCGGGCAGCACCCAGGGGGACGCAGAGGCAATAAGAAGGCCATCGGGACCCTGCGCCAGCTGGACGTCGCCAGCGAGCTGAGGGGTGGCATCCTGGCCTGGTTCGGCGCGCTGCCCGAGGAGGTGGCGCCTGCGGCGGCCGTCGGGCCCGCTGGACGCGAGGGGGGCGGGGGAGGGACGGTCACCTCCTGCGCGTCGAGCTCGTCACCAGCGGGCGGGCTGCGGGCAGCCGCCGGCCCTGTGAGTCCAGTGGGTCGGCCGTGGCCGCGATCAGCCGCCCAGAGGCCATGCAGGCATACGGCCTGGACGAGGCTGGCTTGGCCGACTGGGCGGACGAGGTTTTGGCGGCGGAAGAAAGCAAGCGAAGGCGCCTCGTGGGTGCCCAGCCGTCAGCTTCAGGGTGGAGAGCGTGCGGCGGCGGTTGGCCGCTTGTACGAGGACTTCGCGCTGCCCGCCCACTTTTGGCGGCAGCAACTTCCAGCGAGCCTTCGCAGAACCAAAATGAGTCTACCTAGGTGTGCGCTGTCGCGCTCTGTCCGCCCCCCGGGAGTGTGGCCCTGTGGGGCTCTGAAGGTCTGGCCCGTTCCCCGCTGGGCCCCCTGGGTGGGTGGGGCCTTGGTGGCCCTGGGGTGTGGCCCAAGGTGGCCCGCCCTCCTCTCTTTCCCTTGTTTCTCTGGCTTTACGTCCCCACAGCTTCAGCTTCAGCTTCGCAGCAGCACGACAGACCAGCACGGCAGACCAACTCAGCAAACCAGCACAACAAACCAACACTGATATTGTCAAGTCGGCGCCGGGCTTACCCGCACGGCAGACCACACGAACATGGCTGACCACAGCAGCACGGCAGACCAATACGGCAGGCCAGCACGGCAGACCAAAGAAACATTGCAGAACACAACATCAGGGCAGACCAGCCCCGCACACCCGCACGGCACGCCACAGGAGCATAGCAGTCCACAGCAGCACGGCAGACCAGCACGGCAGACCAGCACGGCAGACCAGCACAGCAGACCAGCACGGCAAACTCACACGGCAGACCAGTACGGCAAAACGGCAGACCAGCATGGGGCGCATACGGACATACTAATACTACATGTCCTCCTTGGAGGCGCGCGTCCGATCCGAACATGTAGTACACCAACCTTGTAGTATATCCTTCCCCGAGCGGTGTGGCCAGAAAGCGCCCGCCAGGACGCATGTACTATACGATTTCTCGGTGCGCGCGTCGCCCCTGGGGGGGGGCGACGCACCTATAATATATAGTATGTTGGGTTGACGCCGACAGCATGGCCGGAACGGCAGGCCAGCATGGCAGTCCGGCGCGGCAGACCAGCACAGGAACATAGCAGGCTTCAGCAGGTTGTTGTTGATGATGATTATGATGATGCTGATGATGGTGATGATGATGACGATGCTGATGCTGATGCTGATGACGATGATGATCGTGATCGTGAGCATGCGTAGGATGATCAGGATGATGATGATGATGATGATGATGATGATGATGATGATGATGATGATGATGATGAAGAAGAAGAAGAAGAAGAAGAAGAAGAAGAAGAAGGACTTCTCGGGGCGTGCTTGGGCGATCTCGGCGAACTCTGGGGAGCCTCTGAACTGGCAATTTGAATCTGCGCAGCCGTTGTAACGCGACTCTCGTTTACAAACGGCCGGACCGCTATATCTGCATACCATAGCAGCACGACGCAGCGCGGCAACACGACAGACCGCAGCAACACGGCAGACCAGGAAGGCAGAGCACAAGTGCACGGCAGACCGACGGAGCACGGCAAACCAGCACAGCGTTGTTGCAACAGACGGTGCTGGTACTCTCTTGATTTGCTGAAGACGTCCCCAGCGACATCGTCCTGTTCGGCCGTATTGAGGGCACTCTGGGTGCTTTTGTTTTTGGGGGCCGTTTTGTTTTTTGGGGCCGTACTGATGCCTTCAAACATGATTCCAAGACGACGTTAGACTCACGCACTGTTTGACGATTGTTCGGCCGTCTTGAGAGCGCTCGTCGGAGGTTGGGGGGTGAGATCGCAGTGAAACGGAGACCCCCCACCAGGAAATCGGTTTCGTTTTCGTGTTCGTTTCGCGCGTGCGGGCGAGGCGAAGCTGCGCGTGATCCTCCTGTAGCTAGGCCAAAATAGGAGCGAAAGTCCGTTCCCGTCCGCCGGTGGCTGGGAGGTGTCCCAGTTGGGCCGGGCGGTGTCCCGGGTGTCCCGGGTGTCACTAGGAGCGAAAGTCCGTTTGCCGTCCGCCGGTGGCCGGGAGGTGTCCCAGATGGGCCTGGCGGTGTCCTGGGTGTCCCATGTGTCCCGGGCGTTGGTTGTGACGATGGTTGTCCTGTGGTTGTCCGACAACAAGTCGTTTTTCGGCGCCTGCGGCGGGCTTTCTCATTTTGCTTTTGAGGTCGATAGTGAGATCGACAGTGAGATTCGGTGATAGGTCGGTCGACGGATAGGTTCATAGTGGGACCTCATCGTCATCGCGATTATCATTGTGGTGGAGGGAGTCTGATATAGAGAGGGAGAAAGAGAGAGAGAGAGAGGGCGAGAGAGAGAGAGAGAGACAGAGAGAGAGAGACAGAGAGAAAGAGAGAGATGAGATCAAGGTGACAGGCTGGAGGTCAGTCAGGGTGGGCATTTGATCTCAATCCCCCCCCCCCCCAACCTCCGTATCGCCCGCAGGGCGGTCGTATGGGTAGGCCATATTATGCCGTGCTCCTGGTCTTGGTCTGCCGTGCTCCTCGTCTTGATCCTCCTTTCGGTCGTCTTGAGAGTACTCTTGGGGCCTGGGCTGCCGTGTTCCTGGTCTTGGTCTGCCGTACTCCCCTCGTGGTCTGCCGTGCTCCTCTCGGTCTCCCGTGATCCTCTCGAACATCTCAATTGTGTGAGGATGTCTCAAGCGAATGCTCATTTTTGAAATCCGCCAACGAAAGCTCCCGTGCCATCCGCCACCCCATGTTTCGCGGCGCGCGCGGATCTTCGATTCTTACATGTACATGTTCAGCGACAACGTCCAGCTTGCTTCTGGTACCTCGAAAACGCTTCCCGTCATCCGCCAGCGACTTCCCAAGTGCAGCGCGGAACCGTTTGTAAAAACCCAGCTTGAACTTAATTCATACAAAAAACGGTCCACACCAGAGGCGCTTCCCGTCATCCGCCTTCGTGATTGCTTCACGACGTGTAAGATGGATTGGGGATCCGTGGATCTGGCGCGTGGTCGCCAGATCCTTGAATCGGGGAAAGCACCCCCGAAACACGGCGCCAATGCCGCCCGACTTGGTGGCGGAGCGTGCCGATTGAGTGTAGAAACGGGACCCGTCGTCAATCCAAGTGCCTGATCCACATTTGCGTTTCCTCGACCTCTTCTCGGGGCCCCATCTTGCGGGTCCCGAAACCCCATGGTGACGGACAACTTGGTGATCTCGAAGTCCCCAACGGCCTAACCGCCGTCCGTCTCCGCACAATGTTGGGACCCTCGAGGCCCGACACGCCCTCGGGGAACGGCCCGAGTCCCAAACCGTGCGGTGACCCTGGATCCCCACTGACTCATCGCGCGGTGTGATCACCACACCGTTTTTGACTGTCCAACAGACCACAGGAACCCAACCCGAAATTTTGGGAAGGGGCACGGCTTCCAGATGTGTGTCCGTGAATGTTCCCCGACGCCCCCCTCACTGGGAATGGAGGGCAGATTAGGGTCTTCGGGTTGGGTTGGGGATGTTTGGTGGGTGGTGAATTCGGGGACTCCCCGGCCACCCCTCAGAGTCCATCTTTGAACTCCCTCCTCCCGAAGGCGGCGGCGGCGGCGGCCCGCTCCCGTGGTGCCGCGGGGTGCTGGTCCCTCGCCTGTCGGGTTGGGGGAGGGGGGCGTGCGCGGCGAGGGCCGCAGGCGCCAACTTCCAGCTGTCCGCCGCCACCCGCCTCTAAGACGAAACCAAAACGATAATCAAATCGGGTGAGGATAAACCGAGAATCTCTGCGATCTGGCGGCTCTGGAGGATGTCTCGGGCGCCGCGGCCTCCTCAGAGCGTTCTGAACGCTATGAGAGTGTCCCGAACGCTCTGAAACCGGTTTATCCTCGTCCTAGCCCCGTCCGATCGCCGCCTTCCCGCTGTCCGCCGCCGCCCACCTCCCAGGCCTGACCCTGACTCAGATCGCAAACATGGGTCGGATCGGAGACGGATCGGGCCGCCAGCGAATCGTCCTGAATCGAATCGACTCTGGATCGCCGCCCCTGGTTTTGACTGGCCCCGGCCGATGCCCGTGAACAGAGCCGGACCGAATCGGATCTCGGGCGTTGCTCAATGGGGGGGCGAGTAAGCGGGGTGGAGAGAAACGTGCACCTTTCGTGCCCCTTTTGGGCCCCGGGGGGCTCATTTAGGACAGAAATGGCGCACCTTTCTTCACCCCCGAATCCCATCAGACCTTTGGGCGTAGGTGGTTTAACGAGTTGCGTCCTCTCTCTGCCAAAATCCCTCCTTCCCCTGCTCAGGGGAAGGGTTACCACTGTTCCCTATTAGCACCCCTCCCCCAAGAAACCGGCAGCCAACCCGGACCAATGAGGGCCCTCCCACACCATTCCTTCGAAAAACATTTATCCAGACGATGTACCCAATCCTTGCGCAACGCATGTCCAGAATAGCTGAACATACTTTCTAAGGGGTGGTACCGTGGGAAGGGGATCGATGTTCTGCGAACGGTATGTGGGGGGCTCGCGGGGTGCGCGGCCCGCAGGATACCGATAAATGGACACCAGTTTAATGGAGGTGATTCGTCAGCTCCCTGGGTCGAGGGGAAAGCGGGGCGAGGACTAAAGGGAGAAGGCGGGCATGGAGGTTGAAACGTAAACCGGGCAGCAGCAAAGGGGCATGGCAGCAACACGATAGTGACGAGAAAAAACGGCCTGAGGAAGGCTACGTATGATGTTTCGAAATATGCCAGCAATCGGCCGTCAAACGTGGCGACAGTGTCGCGGATGCCCCCCAACAACCGGCCCTCGAATGCCCCCAAGGATGGCGAGGTCGAATCTGAATATGCTTGATAAGTCACTCCGCTGGAGCCCCCCAACAGCCCTCGAGAGGGGCGACAAATTCGCAAATCTCAGAAGTAGTTTGAAAGGGGGCTGGGAGGCCCAGCCAGCAGTTTCGCCGTAGGCGAAGCCAAGCTCCAGCTCTGTTGTACCGAAGAAACGATAGTCCCAGGAGGAGAGGATGTGCCATCTTAAGCAATAGGAAGATCCTTTTGGTCTCGATCGCAATCGTGTGCTTCGCGATGCGGCACAAGCATATTTGGGCGGCCGGCCGCTTGAGCCGACGCGGCCGCGGGCCCACGCTCGCTTCCGCTCCTTGCGTCCCTCAACTCGCTTTAGAGCCGGGGGGGAGGGAGACGAAACGTGAGCCCGTCGCCCCTATGCAGCAGGCACAGCAGCTAATATACACAAGGACAGAAAAGGGGCGGGCCAGAAGGAAGGGGGGCCGCTCGCAAGTTGCCTTGCTTGTACAGTTCTGTACTGAAAGTACTCCTCAGGCGGCGTCAGAACTAGACGTGTGGCCGGCTCGATATGGAGTATGACTCTTCAGGCCATGTTTGAAGGCCTGTATGCCTCCCATGACTTGTAGGAGCATTTCTCTGTCGAAGCTCCCCTTGGTGTGACCATCCGCAGTCATGTCGCGGGTGTCGCACCACTGAGTACTGTGCACGATTCCACGCTCCATCATCTGTAATATCCAACTGATGTGTCTAAAAGGGTACATTCAGTCGGCTTCTTCAAATCTTTGCTTGACAAGGACTTAAAAGCCGACTCAGCATCTATGGTCAACATGACCTTGATGCTCAGGCCACCCAACTCAAGTATATATTTCAACTGAGTGGGCGTGAGCGGCCGTGCGTGGAGCTCGTGCAGAGTCGCAGCCGTGGGGTTACAATCCTCCAAAGTATGGGCTGCTGCTAGTGTCTCTGCTGAATAGCTCGAGCGGACCTGCGCGCAGGCGAGACTTGCAGTGCGCATCGGTCAAGTGAACGACATGTTTACCGGATGCCGTGTTTCCACGTCGTAGCAGTTTTGCCCCGCGAATACCATAGCCTTTGACGTCGCCATCGGCGTCTCCACTCAGGCGTCGGTATCCTGAATCGCTGCGCAGGTCAGCCTCGCCCGTAGGGGTCATCGCCGGGTAGGCGATCTTCTCTGGGCAGGCCTTCAGCTTCCTGGCGATCGCGTTCAGTCGTCGCACTTGGATGTTGGTCGGTTCTCGGAAACGTTGTAGAGATACAACATGCACCATCCACCACACCTGGGTGTTTTAATGCGTACGCCAGCGCGCCCCTGAGGCTGACTAACATGTCTGCAACCATCTTGGATACCTGAGCGTCGGAGTCGGCGCCGGTAAGTTCAGGGTGTTGCATAGGACGGGGCTGCTTGATGTCTTCATCTTGGTCCAAAGTAACATTGCCGTCGTCGCCCTTGGTATATCCCACAGCACAATTGGTGCATGTGTCCTGGTTGAGTATACACTTACCAAAGGCGTCTTCTACGCATTTGCCACGCTTGTCAATGGTGTCCTCATTGCCGGCCATATTGATATCATCAACATGTTTGGCCGTGAGCAGGTTATTGCTCGTCTCGAACTCCTCGTCGGAGGACGTGGGTCGGGGGCCAAACCTCTGGTGGTCCTTGTGAGTTTTAGGGAGAAAGCTCGCGGGGAAGAGAGAGAAAGAGAGAGAGAGAGAGAGAGAGAGAGAAAAAAAAAAAAGAGAGAGAGAGAGAGAGAGAGAGAGAGAGAGAGAGAGAGAGAGAGAGAGAGAGAGAGAGAGAGAGAGAGAGAGAGAGAGAGAGAGAGAGAGAGAGAGATGCCCCCGTGTACCAACACGTAAGTGTATTCTCCTGCTTGTCCGACGTCTGTGGCCACTTGGGCCCAGGCGCTCTGCCGATTCTGATCAACGGTTGGGCGCGGATGCAGGCCCTTGGGCCGTGCGCCCTCGACGCCGCGCGGCGGCGGGCCAGCAAGGTGTTGCGTGGGTATGGGCTCCTCTGGTGCCCGCGCCTGGTTTCAAGCGCTGCAAGCAATGCTGTGACTCGTCGCAGTGTTCGAATCCTGGGAGACTTCGAAGCACTGTGGCCGATCCCGGCGGCAGAGTAAAACGCGCCGCGCGCCCCTTTTCGCCAGTGGCCTCAGCAAGTTCTTGATCGGTCAACCCCTTCAGGAAGGCCATGTTGATGTCGAGGGAAGCAATGCTACATTGCTTCTTGCACGCTGCCGTGCCAGCGAGTAGCCTCTGGCTTGACCGTCGCGCCGGTCCCGAAAAAGGTTTCTACGTCGAAAGCTTCAAGGTCCATGATGCCTCGGAGTACCAGGCGTAATATGATGGTGTGGTGCGTTCCACCTCGCCCTTCTCGCCCCTTACAAACCTCCATCTTCGCGCGTGCCTCGAAGTCGCGATGTTCGACGCTTTAGCTATATATATATATATATATATATATGTATGTACAGGTGTATAAATCTATACATATATTTATATAGATCGCACATTGAAGCACTTGTTGTCGAACCATGTCTTGAGTTCAGTGTTGGGGGCCTTCAATGCTTTATCGGGGTTCGCCTGGACGTCAGCTTTCGCGAGGAGGTCGTCTCCTTGACGACCGCAGCTCGCTGTGCAGCGGCGGTGACGTATACTCGCATGGTGGTCTCACGGTCGGCATATCTAGTATCATGTGTTGTTGTCCAGGCAGGGCTACCATGGCCTCCGGCAGTTCCCTTTCCTCTTGTAGTTCTACATACCACACTTCCATAACATGTGACTCGATATCAGCCTCCGATTCCTTGTAGATCGTAGAAGGCCGTCCATCATGTGGTGGTTCGGCTTCTGAGGCTTCTCTTCGGGTTCCATCTGGTGTCGGTGTACCCGCCAGTTCCTCAAATCTTGACATGTCTTGATCAAACCCTGCTTGGGGTATAATGGACTTCAGACACTGGGTGATTCTCGAATGTGTTGATCCAAGTATAATGTATTTATTCAGTGCAGTGCCTTCTGCTTCATAATAATGGAACCCTGGATTCACATCGTTGTCGCAATGGACCATATGTGCAGCTGTCAGCATAAGTAACCGGAGGTAGCTTATGAATACGCTTAGCTAACCTGACTGAAACTACATTCTCTATGCGGAAGAAGCTTCTGGTAAGATACTGTAGAGCTAAATGTAACTCAGGAAATAAACGGTTTACACTCGTCATCTGAAGCGCCCCTCCTTGGTCGGCACATCGCCAAAGGTCATGGCAGGTCTCCCCGCTGGCAGGCTGTCCACGAATGTCAACGCTGTCTGTAGCGCAGTGTTGCCGGAGCCAATTTCTCGGGCTACCAGTGCTTCGCCGCACTGTGCTTGAACATCTCGGTTGCCCAGTCGGATGGTGACTTAACCCCTTTCGGGATCATTCTTTACAACTGGGAATGGGCCATTCCAGCCCCCCCAGTGGTCCTGAGTGGTTGCGGGGGGATGGTAATCCACTTAGTCTCCTTCATCGTAATATTGCTGAAGGTAACAGTTGTCCTGGTACGTGGGGCGCGATTGGACTTAGCTACTGCTGTGGCCTGTGTTATTGCTTCAATGCATACTTTGCGCATCGTCGGTTCACGAGAATGGTTCGACGTTTCCGTCGAGTGCTCGTGGTCCAAGACACGCAAGTCAGGAAGCATTGCTGGATGCCGTTCAAACAGAGCGCTGCACGGAGACACCTCGCTGTAGATGGTGAACGGCTTGGCGGCGAACAAAGCCTCGCGCAGTAGCCGTGTGAACGCAAGAGGTGTGTCCAACCTGTTGAGTTCAGTTTCCATGACATGAAGTAGATGGCGCA